GTGTCTCTAGACATTTGTCACAGGAGTTGGAGTATGTACGTATGTCTGGGAAACAAGGCTTCCGAGAGAATGGTGAAGATCTAACAGGGTTGTGGGTCCTGCTGGCAGTGTCACGGCTTGGACTGGTTGAGGCAGGGACAGGGAAGAGGAAGTCAGCTCTGGGGCTTTACCCTTCGCTCAGCTGTCCTCACTGGCTGGGGCTCCAGGACACAGCCCCCTACCCCACTCCACACAGCAGGGAGCAGGGTGGGAAGGTGGGGGCGGCATTGCTTCTAAGTGCTGATCATTTTCTCCGAGCTCTTGATGGCCTCTCGTTACTGGCCTGTGACATATTTCTGTGATATTGTTTCCTGGGTTAGTAGACCAGGCTGTGGAATATAAAGAAGACCCAAGGGGAAGAAAGGAGGTGTACGAACTTACACACTTTTCGTTTTGTTCTGTTGCTTCCATGCCTTTAGAAAAGACTGTAACTGACAACTACAGACCACTTTCAGACTCAGATTATATCTGTGCAATTTCAGTAGAAAAACCCCTGGGCAGGTATGATATACCTTTTTTCTGTGCCTGCCAGGGTACCAAGCACATTGAAGGCATTTAACAAATAATAATAATAATTTAAAGCAATGGGAGCATTGGGTGTATAGGGAGATAAGAAACTGAAAGACCGAGGCCCACTAATAATTAATAATGTCTCAGGAGGTGGTCCCACTGTTTTTGGATTTTAAATCCCCTTGTTCAATTTCTTGCTGGAGTGAATTCCACGCAAAAATGAATAATCTTTAATTTGATACTTAGTCACTTCAGTGTCCTGTGCTGAGCTGGCTAAGATTGCAGGTTCTTATGAAAATACACGCATTCGTAATCAGTCTGATAATGTTGCTCCCCAGGGCTTCTAAATGCAAACGCAAGAGATCGTATATTCAGATATGTGGCTTCTCATTTAAAAAATTTTTATTCTTGGAATAGAAGGGAAAACAACACCACGACGACTTCCAGTTAGATACATTATGAAACAAGGCCTGGCCCCTGCAAGTGAAGGCTTCACCAGGAATGCACTCTTGTCCTTTTATATGATAGGCCGAATGGACACTCATTTTAGTAAAATGACAGGATAACTAGAGTATACCTTTGATTAAAGTTTGATTACCAATTATTTTGCTGCCCCAGGTGCTCACATTCTGAAGATTTGGAGTCTGCCTTTATTTGGGTTAAAATATCCAGAGACCATAGGAAAGGGCACCCCGAGGAAAGACTGGAAAGAAGGCAAAGTGTGTCGTCTGTGCCCATCTCTTCCAGTGTGTTCTTTCTCTTATGGCTGGTGCATGCACCCCTTAGCATCTGCCTTGGGTTAGGTTTAGACCTTCCTTCTCTTCCCATATTAAAGCTTATGATTTTTTGCTTTTCTGAACTGACTCCATTACATTTTAGATTGTTTTCATAATATCCTTGAATCCTCCCTCTCCTCTATATCCCCTTTGTCATGGTCTTATTTTGAGACTGCACCATCTCCTGTCTGGTTTGCTACAATAGCTTCTTGAGTGGTACATTTAGTGTAGTCTCCTTGTAGTTTATCCCTCACCCTGATGTTAGAATTTTTTTTTCTTCTAAGTGCTCGCTTCAGCAGCACATATACTAAAATTGGAACGATACAGAGAAGATTTGAATGGCCCCTGTGCAAGGGTGACACGCAAATTCATGAAGCGTTCCATATTTTTTATGGATGGACCTGGAGAAAATTATGCTAAGTGAAATAAGCCAGGCAGAGAAAGACAAACATCACATGATCTCGCTTATATGTGGAATCTGAAGAACTTAATAAACTGATGAACAGAATAGATTCAGTGACATGGAAGCATAGATCAGACAGATGAATGTCAGAGGGATGGAGGAGGGTGGGTGGGTAGAGGGGGAGAGAGTAACCAAAGAATTTATATGCATATATGCTCAACCCAAGAACACGGACAATGGTGGGGAGACGGACTGGGGAGGGGGAGGGGACAGGGGGGAATGGATCATTGGGGAGAAAAAGAGACGCCTGTAATATTTAAAAATAAATAAATAAATAAATAAAACAAAAAAAACACAAGCCTGCTTTTGTCTCTACTCTGGTTAAAAATTTTGACACCCCACTTCTACAAGCTATTGGATAAAAATCACTTTTTAGCAGAGCATAAAAAATACTTTGTCATCTGGTCCCTGGCTGTCTTTCTAGCATAATCAATTGCTTTCTGACCAGAGATCTTTATATGGGCTGCTTTGCTCCATCCATACCTTTGAACATGACATTCTATCCGCTTAAATTGCATTTTCCCCCTTTGTTTCCCTTGAAGATGCTTAGCTTTCCTTCAAGGCTCACCTTGAAATTACCTTTATTGTATTCAAGATGGCAATTATTTTCTCCTTACCCTCTCACTTTCTTTTAAGAGAACCTATTCTTGGACTAGAATAGGATTAAGTCAGATTCTTTTTGAAAAGAATTGATATGGGGATAGAAAGAGTGAATTACATGGCTATGGTTGGTAGATGAGTAAGGTCTTATGGTCTCAATGGTTGACCCAGTTGTATATGCAAGAGAGCTGATTTGTAGGAAAATAAAATAAAATGGGGCAAATTGCAGAGAAAAACATGTGAGAGATATGGTAAGAAAGAGAGAGCAAGCGGAGAGCTATCTTGGTTCTCATTGGCTTATCAATTCCTATTGAGGTGCCTCTGAGACTAATTGCTTTTTAAACACTCTTAACTCTTTATGCTATTGCACTGATCATTACAATGATATAGATTTCAAGAGTACAATTCTAAAATACATCATCTGCACATCGCATTGTGAGCTCAGTATCCAGACTCTAGTCTCCTTCTGTCACCATTTATCCCGTTACCCTCTTCCACCTGCCCCCACCCCCTTCCCTCTGGTAATCACCATCTGCTGTCTGTGTCCATGAGTTTGTTTTCTTAACCCCTTCCCTTATTTTGCCCAGTCCCCAACCCCCTTCCCTTTGATAGCTATCAGTCTGTTCTTTCTATCTATGAGTCTGTTTCTATTTTGTTTGTTTATTTTGTTCATTAGATTCCAGATATAAGTGAAATCATATGGTATTTGTCTTTCTATGACTGGCTTACTTCACTTGGCATAATACTCTCTAGGTCCATCCATACTGTCACAAAAGGTAAGATTTTCTTTTCTTTTCTTTTTTTATGGCCAAGTAGTATTCCATTGTGTAAAAAAATGCTTTTTTATTCACTCATCTACTGATGGACACTTGGGCTGTTTCCAGAACTTGACTATTCTAAATAGCCCTGCAATGAACATAGGGATGCTTATATTCTTCTGAACCAGTGTTTCAGGTTTCCTCAGATATATTCCCAGAAGTGGAATTGCTGGTGTCCCATTTGTTTATTTTTTCTTTTGTTTCTTTTGCCTGAGGTGATAGATCAGAAAAAATATTGCTACAAGAAATGTCTGCAATTTTACTACCTGTGTTTTCTTCAAGGATTTTTATGGTTTCAAGTTTTACATTTAAGTCTTTAATCCATTTTGAGTTTATTCTTGTCTATTGTGTAAGGAGGTGGTCTAGTTTTATTTTTTTGCATGTATCTGTCCAGCTTTCCCAACACTATTTATTAAATAAACTATCTTTACTCCATTCTATATTCTTGCTTCCTTTGTCAAATATTAATTTACCATATAGGTGTGGATTTATTTCTGGGCTCTCTACTTTATTCCATTGATTTATACATCTGTTTCTATGCCAGTACCATGCTGTTTTGACTACTACTCCTTTGTAGTATAGTTCCATATCAACTTTGTTCTTCTTTCTCAAGATTGCTGAGGCCACTCAGGGTCTTTTGCGGTTCCATATAAATTTTTGGAGTATTTGCTCTAGTTCTGTGAAATACACCATTGGTATTTTGCTAGGAATTGCATTGAATCTATAGATTGCTTTGGGTAGTATGGACATTTTAATGATGTTAATTCCTCCTATCCATGAACACAGTTTATGTTTCTACTTATTTGTATCTTTCTCAGTTTCTTTCTTCAGTATCTTATAATTTTCTGAGTACAGGTCTTTTACCTCCTTAGTTAAATTTATTCCTAGGTACCTTATTATTATTATTTTTTTTGGTGCAATTGTAAATGGGATTATTTTCTTAGTTTGCTTTCTGATAGTTCATAATTGGTGTATAAAAATGCCACCAATTTCTGAATATTAATTTTGTATCCTGCTACTTTACTGAATTTATTCATCAGTTTTAGTAGTTTTTGGTGGAATCTTTAAGGTTTTCTATATCATGCCATCTGCAAATAATGACAGCTTTACTTCTTCCTTTCCAGTTTGGATGGCTTTTATTTCTTTTTCTTATCTGATTGCTGTGGCTAGAACTTTCAGTACTATGTTGAATATGAGTGGTGAAAGTGGACATCCCTGTCTTGTTCCTGATCTTAAGGAAAATACTTCTAGTTTTTGCCATTTCAGTATGATGTTGACTGTGGATCTGTCATATATGGCCTTTATTATGCTGAGGTATGTTTCCTCTCTTCCCACTTTGCTGAGAGTTTTTATCGTAAATACGTGCTGGATTTTATCAAATGCTTTTTCTGCATCTATTGATATGATCCTGTGGTTTTTATCCTTCATTTTGTTTATGTGATGTATCATGTTTATTGATTTGTGAATATTGTACCAACCTTGCATCCCGAGAATAAATCCACTTGATCATGGTATATGATCTCTTTAATGTCTTGCTGGATCCAGTTTGCTAATACCTTGTTGAGGATTTTAACATCTATGTTCATCAGAGATATTGGCCTATAATTTTATTTCTTTCTAGCATCTTTATCTGGCTTTGGAATTAGGATAATGCTGGTCTTGTAAAATGAGCTTGGAAGTCTTCCCTCCTGTTGAATTTTTTGGAATAATTTGAGAAGGATAGTGCTAGTTCTTCTTTGAGTGTTAGGTAAAATTTGCCTGTGAAGACATCTGGTCCAGGACTTTTGTTTGCTGGGAGTTTTTTGATTACTATTTTAATTTCATTAACTGTAATCAGTTTATTCAGATTTTTCTGATTCTTCCTGTATGGAAGACTGTATGCGTCTAGGAGTTTATCCATTTTGTCCTAGTTTCCCAAGAGCTTTTGTTTCTTATTTTCAAATGATTCCTTATTAAGACTTACCAAGTATATTCAATAAAATGATTGTATATATGTCCATCTTCCTGACCAGACAGTTAACTTCCTGAGGGTAGGGACACTGCTTCATTTATCTTGAGATTCTTAGCAATTGGTCTAGTTGTGGTAGACTGATAATATATATTTGAATGAATGAAAACTAACTTCATTTTTTAATGCCTTTTTTAACAAAGAGCTTAGGAAATTACAAAGTTGGTGTTGCTTTCATAATTGGTAATAAAACATTAGGTCTTCCAGTAACATATTTGTATTTTAATAAGGGCTTTCGGGAATCAATTCTTTGAGATACAGGACTAGCCATAAAAGGAGGAATTTATCAGTATTGGATTTCACAGGGAGATATTTGGGGAGCCTTTCACTGTTTCTGAAATTATAACCTACCTCTGTCCAGGGCCACCGGGGTGTAGAGCCACCATCAGGAGGAACTGGCTGAGGGATAGAAGAACTTCCCTTCAGAGACTGATGAAGTGGGATCTAGGGCTGGGACTTCACTGCCTGGAACTGCATTTACTTCCTTCCAAATAGTTTTATATAAGCACAGATCATCCAGGAAAAACAGAAATATTCTAAGTGAAACCAATCAAAACACCAAGTCACTTGAGATGATATCATGGTGGGAAAGTTCACTTTGTGAATCAGTGTATTGCTCTTTAAACATTGTTGTCTCTAATAATGCACGCTTATACTTTCTGTGTTGGTATTACTGATCAAATGGCACTTAAGAGGCATCAAATAAACACTTCTTTTCTATGGCATTAATTAAAGAGGATGTTGTCATATTAAAGTTGAGACCTCACTACAGGAAAATCAAATGAAATGGATCATTGAGATTAGCCTGAGATGAATGTTTCCCTCCCTCAAATTTAACCTTCTAAGATTTTTAGGTCATGTAATTCGTGATCTCCCCTTTTAATAATGAAGTGTACATTTTTCCTTCTTTTCTTCCCTCTTTACAGTATTATATGAGTAAGCCTCCCCCTTTTTTGGTTACACCAAGACTTGCTCTTTTTTTGGTTGGTTAAACCAGGGCAGTGAAATTCATTTCTCAAGCAGCCATCTTCATTAACTGGCATTTTTGTTGAGGTAGATACCTTTGAGAACATCAGCCTTCACTGGATGTTTAAGGCAAGACTTCTTTGAGACAAAGCTTTAAACAGGGAGTGCATCTTTCTTAGTACTCTTTCTGGTAAATGGGCCAGGCATGAGAGGCTAGCCTTGGTTGAGAACTTAACAAATTCTGCTTGTAGTTTAAGGTGATGTTCTTTTTAATGTTCAATGTAATTATAATAGGATAGGGGTGCAGTGTAGACATGTTGGATAAACACATAAACTTACAGATGTTTAAAAGAATCTATGCTTATTCCTCCCTTGTGAAAATGTTGCTCAGCTCTAATAAAACATATATGTACTATCCTCCAGAGACTCTAAGAACATAAATGGAGGTTAAACAGCTGGACAGAATGCCAATGTTTTAAAATACAGCTGTGAATCAAAGTTAGAAAGCAAAAAGACCTTTTTACCTTCAAAGGTAGCCAATTAAGTTGCAAACACTATTGACAATAGTTGCTTTATTCAGAGCCTTATTATATAAAACACCATGCTGTCTTGAAACTGAAGAGGTTGCTGAGAAGTCGTCTCCATAATCCATAATTGAAAGAATCATAAATGTAACAATTATTTCCCTCTATGATTGCTTTCACAATTTCTTGTTCTCTGCAGGATCCTTGTTGTTTTTTTCCCCCTTTCATCTCACTGCAACAATCAAGCAATTATAGTGTGATTCATATTTAAGATTAAATTTTGCATGTCTACTGTGGTATAATAGTCTCTATTTTTTCATAACTGTGAACTATGTTTATGTAATTAATCAACTTTTTAACTAAGTACTATTGATTGCAATATATGCTTTATAAGTAATATCTATTTGGCCTAAATTTTATAGATTTTGTCAATCCATGGTTTAGAATAAAGCAATGTGATTAATTTGAAGATGGACATAAACAGTATGACATGCAAATTGGGAAAACTATTCTATATGATGGAAAAGAGATAAGAAATAAAAACAATTCTCATGTGGTGTATTTTAATCTAATCTTTAAAAATTTCTGTCAGCCTCCAGAAGCTATTTCTGGCTTTAAGTACTTTAAAATGTTAGTAATGATCTAAATGAAGATGTTAGCACTTCTCAGGTTCGATATTGTCATTCTGTAGATATCATGCAGTGACAGAGGACTCTTAACAAAAATCTTTTTTTTTTCTTCCCTACATTTAAGAAGTTCAGGAGACTGGCCAGATTTTCTGGGAAACTCTGACTTAAAGGTTGAGTTTAAGGAGAGGGGAGAAGCTCTCTCTTCTTGCCCACCCCTCACTCACCCTCTGTCTAGTGGAGAGAAGAGGGAGTGAGAGCAGGCATGGAAGAGGGAAGGAAGAACTGAGGGGGAGCGAGCGAGCATTCCAGAGACTCCCAGGCACTTTGGACAAGTGAAGTGAAAGATCTCCACATGTAAGTTCAAACTCTTCTTATTTAAGATGTAAAAAGCCATCAAATTATGTCATCTTATCCAAAGCTAATAGCACTTTATAATATTTTAGACTATATCTATAAAATGTTCAAATATTTCTTCTTTCCATTTGTATTTTAACAAAATAATATATATTTTAACAAAATCCCTTATGTTTTACATGATTTCAGAGTCCATTTAATTCATCCGCCTAATTGTACAGGAGAAAACTAAGTACTCTATATTATAATTAGGGTGATTATATACTTTCTTGTTCAAATCTGGACACTGAGAATAAAATAGGTTGCTATAATAATTACCCCAGGACAATAGGGTTAAACTAGGAAACTAGGATTTATGAGCACCTTAATTTTAAAAAATAGAAACTAAGATTACCAGATGGTTGAGTCATTAAAATTAATTTAATTGCTTTTTTTAGTCTTCTGCCATTATGACAGGGGGGAAAAGTTAAATTGGCCATTTCAATAATAGCTAACATTTTTTGATTACTTATTATGTACCAGGCATCATTCTGAGCATTTTATTTGTAAAAACATGATTAATCTTCATGTTAACTATGTAAGATTCTTACTCATCCCAATTTTATAGATGAGGAAACTGATGTCTAGAGAGGTTTAATTTCTTACCCAAAGTCACAGACCTAGTAAGTAAAAGAGATGGGATTCAAAGTCAAGTATTTTGGTTCCAGAGTCTTAGCCACTACCTAATTCTGTCTCTCATGCTTCTAGCACTGATGGCTGTGGAGGCAGGTCTAGAATAGCGGTGATATTTGAAAGGCTAAGTAGGTCACAGGTTTGCAATCCTCAGAGTCATAAAGAATTGGAAGTCCAGGGTAAGAGGTTTTGAAGTAGATGCTCAGAGACCAATGTAAAAATATCTGGTATTATAAATCAGGAATTACATAATGAAGCTGCACTATGGATGCCCCCTAGCATGCTTCCTAAGGCGTGGGTCTTACTTATGGCTTCAAGGAATGATAACCACGAGGTGAGCCCAGGGTGAGCGGTCAGAGCTAAAGGAGCACCTGACTGAGGTGAGAAGTAAAGGTAGGAATGGAGTTCCCTGACCATTTACTTGATCTATCCATGCATGATATAGACTACCTTGGCTTCAGTTTTTGTTGGTAGAAGGGAAAGCCTTGCCCTGGCGTCCAGGGAGGGGATACTAGGTTGAAAAGGAGCTAGTGGAAACAGGGGCAAAGGGAAGTTTTCTAGCCGATGCACTGAGGCTCCTTGGCACAGCTCCAGGCTGGTGACCAACTATCCTGCTGGAAACCTCAAGAGAGGTTCTACCATGCTGAGGCTGTGCTGAGAAATCACAGAGGAACCACTGGACTGATCATTTCTTGACTTTTAGCTCTCTTTGTAGTGGGGAGTTATGACATTCAAGAACTGGGAGCAATATACCGCCAATCCTAGTGGGAGCTCTCTGGTCTTTTACAAAAGCAGGTATTTTCCTCCTCACCAACCAAGATATCTCTAGTTATAATCACTTATCATTAGGTTGACTGTGGTGTAAGCATACATTTAATACAGACACTTTTAAACCCTTTGACATATTGTGCCTACGGTTTCCTTTAAGAATATGAGAACATACTTTTATTAAACTGACAATCTCAACCTTGATTGTGGTGGTCAATCTTACTGAGGACCCTTTTATTGAATAGTGGTACCATGGGGGAAAAATAATGACTGTCTTCAAAGTATAGAGATAGAAACATAACAGAAAGCAAAACAAAACAAAAGATAAACAATTTAATCAAAAGTAACATAAATAGTAGGAAAATGATAATAGGAATTTTTTTTTTTCTTTTCTCTTTTTTTTAATGTATCTTTATTGATTTCAGAGAGAGGAAAGGAGAGGGAGAGAGAGATAGAAACATCAATGATGAGAGAGTCATTGATCAGCTGCCTCCTGCACTCCCCCAACTGGGGACTGAGCCCACAACCCAGGCATGTGCCCTGCCCGGGAATCCAACCCTGATTGCCTGGATCCTAGGTAGACACTCAACCGCTGAGCCACGCCCAGCTGGGCTAGGAATTACTTTCATTAATTCTCAGTGATTATAGCTTAGAATTACATTCACCAGATAGTAGATATTTTTCCTACTCTAATTTGTTTGAATATTATTGAGTATTTTTGCAAAATGGTCAAATACAATGTTAAAATCTTTAAAAATTTGTATTATCTTAAAATGCTAACAACTTGTAATTTTGGATTACATTTATAAAATACTTGTATATTTTTTCCATATACACTATTAAAAAGCCCTCTAGTTTTAATTTAGAAAAGAGATCATAGGTTTTCTAGTTCACTCTCCTCCTTTATAGGGTGAGCAATTGAGAATCAGAGTCTTTCATGGCCTGCTCGAGTTTGTTTGAGAGTCCAAACAGAACTGGAATCCAGATTTCCTGTCCCCAAGTCTGCAGCCCTTTCAATACTTTGTATCACTTAAAAGAAAAAATTAACATCATATATATATAGAATAGAGACTGTATTCTATAAAGCTAGTGCTGAAAGATAAAGGCAGAGATCTAACTCAGGAAAATGAATTTCTTTTTCTCTAACAAAATAACACACTCCTGGGATGCACACAAAGAACCAGCCCAAATCAGCAAACTGCATAGGTAATTCTAAATTCTAATCTTGCTTCCATGACTGTTTCTGTGCAGTATTTGGTAGATCAGTTCACCTCAGTGATGGTTACCCTATGTAAATAATAGGATAAATAATGTCTTTACTTTCTGAAGCAGGGAAAGGGCTGTGTCTTTTTTTTAAGAATACATCAACAATTGAAAGGGACTTGAAAGTTCCATGTTATGAACCTACTATCATGTTATGATAAGAGGCAAATTATATAACAATAATGGTTAATCAAGGCAGAAAATACTTAAGCATATTTTCTGTTTATGGCTTTAATTTCAATTGTAGTCTTCTAGGTAGACAGAATTAACTATATTTCTGTATATATGCTTTTTTTTTTCTTGGCCAGATTCTTGTTAGAAACATTGTATTGTAGAGCTATAATAACTTTCCTGGACTTAGTAAGCCAAGCTAAATCATTCACGCAGTTTCTCCCTAGACCCCTGCCTTAGCTCAATGGACTATTGGCATAGGTCGCATTAACTGGGTAATTTCTGAATTTTCATTACTTTCTGATATTGCAACTAAACCAAAAATAAGAGAGCATGAACACTAAAGGGTAAATCGTGGACAAATAGCATAGTTATTTATTTTTTTTTGTATACATATGTTTATATTTTTTAGAGGTTAGGGGTAGACTTTCATTTCAGGTTACAGAAATAAAAATGAAGAAAGAATAAAAATAATATATTTTGGAGTAATTGCTTGCTTAAATTAAATGCTTAAATTATAATATTTGAATAGGCATAACCCCAATCTATATTTCAACTTTGATACATGCAAAACTTAATTATAGACATCATTAATAACAAAATATTTGGCAATTTTTATAAGAATAACACTTAAATCTATTAGACAAAGGCTTGTTTGCTGCACCTTATCTGCATTGTCTACCATACAGAACAGAGAAAATGCATATTCTCATTATTTATTAAAGACATTTCCATTTTGATTTTGAAGGCATAGGTTTGAGTCAAAGAAATACCTTTGTAAGTAAAAATATTCCTTGCAGTTAAGCTGTTCACACTTCTTTTATGATTCTGATTATATTTTTATTTTAACCATAAGAGGGCACATTAGTTCAAGAGAAATTAAAGAGAAAGCACAGCAACAAAAAAGAAATGGGCTTAGAAGTGGTAGGCAGAATAAATTTGTGTATTTAATTATGCTTATTTTAACTCATTTCATTGTCATTTGCAACATAATTTATCAGAGTTTTTTTTATTTGAAAAGAATTCAAGTATATATAGTTTCATTAAGAAATAACTTTTCACTTTTTATTGCTAGCTACTACCCCTAGGAGAATGAAGTTGGCCTACTTGAATTTGATGAGGTTGACTATTATGTGACCAAGGAGGACATAAATCATGGCATCTGAAGACCATCCTGAATTCAAAAGAATGTGCGATTAAGTTATTTTGAAGTAAGTAAGTGCCAGTCCCTGGTCTTGTAGTTAATAAAAAAAAGGCACCTATGTATGAATGAATGCAGCTCAGCCACTATGCTTCACCGCAAGCATTTATAACCTTTAAATTTTGGTACAAATTACAGAGAGAACAATAGATGGCCCCAGAGTGAACACAAGACTTTATTTCACTAGAAAGCCTTGACTGGGGTCATAAACTGCAAGAGGGCAGGCAGCCCAAGTGCTTATGAATGACTGCCAAGTCTCAGAATGAGTTCATTTGTTTTCCATCTATGGCAAACTGTTATTGTTTCTAATGTTCAGTCTTTTGCTTTAAAGGCTTCAGGTTTTTAATCTGTAAAGACTGAAATAGATACTAGCTAGTATTGAACAATAATGCTTTTATGATGTTAAGTTAAAGGACTATTTTAGAGGATTAAGTCATTAATTTATTTAATAAGTTAATTGAGCTCCTACTAAGTTTCAAGTTCTGGACTGGGTGCTAGGGAGTAAAGATGGATTAATAAATTTTCTTTGGCTTGAAAATACAATTTTAAAAATTTCCTTGTGATTTATAGAAAAATAAATCAGCAAATAACTATAGTACTGTATGATAACTGTATATATTAATGGAAGACCAGAAACAAGATTTATCAAACCTATTAAAAATACTTTACATTACAATTTTAAGGAAACTGAGGAGTAAGGCAAAATCATTAGTATATATTATCTCCAGTTTAAGACTGCAAAACTGCTCTGTTAATATTTTTTCTGAGAGTCAATTATAGAATAAATTATAGTAATTAGTAGCATAAAACAAGGTAATAATGTAATTGAAACCAAAATATTTACTTGCTATAGAAGATACTTTTATGCATCTTAATTCTGCTCCTTGCAAGCTAATAATACTCTATAGGAATTTCTGTGTGGCTTTTACATCTGGTGGTGTGGAATTAGCATGTACAAAGAGAGTTCAGAATTATGCTTTAATTATGATTTGAATGATGATTTGAGTCTGAGCATGAGTTGTCAACAAAATTGTGAGCTGGGGGAAAAAGAGATAAGGGTTGTTAGTAGGATAAAAAGTATATTTGCAGTCACTTATTTTAAAGTGCCTTTGTTTTAAAAGAAGTAATTAATGTTAGAAATTAATTGGTTCAGATTCTTGATTTTAAAGTTATCACTTGGTTGCTAAGATGAAGCCTTTTCAAAATTACTACACGATATTCAGTGACAGGAACATTTCAGTTAAAAGGTAGAAAACATAATTGAAAAGCTAGCTTTCGAGTGCTTGCTTATCACCCTAATTGATAGCAGACGAGCCCGAGGAATGAAATGCTGTCATTCAACAAAAAAATGTATTTAACTGGATTTCACATATTATTATGCATAGTTTCCTCTAAGAGCTAAACATTATTGCTGATGTTTTCATACAATAGCAGGCTTTAAGTGGAGCCTGGTCAGTTTGCATTAACTATTACAAAGCAATCATTAAGTCAAAATTATGTGCAAACAATGGATCCAGGTAGAGTATCTAAAAATCTTCTAAGGTTTGGACAACCAAAATAGGACATCCATAACATTCATAAAATGCAGCCATAAAGAATGATGTTTTAGATGTATACTTATTGACATAGAGAGTACATTATAAAACAGGCCAGTATGAGCCAACTACTGTAAGTAAAACGATATATATAAAAATGGGAAAAAGTGGAAAGGACATGGTTAAAACAGGACAGGACTAACTGTTAACAGTGGTCATCTCAGGCACTGGAATTACGGGAGATTTTAATTGTCAATAGCTATATCTGTGTTTTCCTAATTCTACAGAAAACATATTTAATTATGTAATAAACAGGACATAGTATTCCAGTTTGCTTAATGTTTAGCAGGAAAATCTTCATATGACTTTAGAATATAGCTCTGTGCTCTTAATGATACTTAATTTCACAATTCCCATTTATTCATTTTTTCCTCTGTGTTTGTTTTTACATATTTTGTTACAATAAGTATTAAAATTTAGCAAAATGTAACATAGATAATACCTAACTTGTCCCATACAAATAAGAAGCTACAGTGAATTCAGGAATAGAAAGGCCAAATATAGATGTACTTAAAATAATATGAAGGAATTATGTATAGGATGTTACCTGGGCATATAGGAAAAATGAAATAAAGGAAAATCGATCCAAATTTTACCACATTTTGAGTCTGCACATGGGAAGGAATATGACAGAATAATGATTGGTTAAACCAATCACTCAGGACAGAAGGTGTGACTTTCCTTTAAAGAAAAGATGATGGGTTGGCTGGCACCCTGGCTGCCTATGTCTATAAAGTTGTATCCCTGTGAGTGAGGAAAAACATGGCCCAATTGATCTGCTCAAGGAGAGTTTATTTTCTTATTTCTTTTTAAAAGAATAGCTTTTAGCTCAGGGCACTGCAACTCAGACATCACATCAGTGTGAACAGTTGAACCACACATACAAAAATCAAAGGAGATGAGTGGATTTGAGTGAAGGTTAAGCAGGATTTTCCATTGATAGGAAGAGCAGAAATGGCCTCTAAATGATTTCCTTGAAACACACACACACATTATAGAGCTTTGTGGCATCTCTACTCTAGGTCAAACAGGACTGAGCTATAAAAGAAAAAAATTGCTTTGCTAGTTGGATTAATAGCTAATTACAAGGTAAGCATTTATTGAGTTGTTGCAAGTAAATGTTATAAAATCAAAGTTTAAGGGAAGAAGTTATGTTTCTGGGGACACAGTATTAAGCTTCTTTCCTCTTTTTCTGATTAAACTAGGTGCTCTAGTGGGTGTTTTATTTTTTTCTGCTTCATAGGCTGTCTTCGTTCTGACATGTGGAAAATAGCTTTTTAACTACTAGTGAATAATCAGTTTTCCATTGCAATTTTATTAACAGTCAGTAATTAATCAGTCTCACAATTTTATTTAGAATGTTGATTTAAATATATCTATTTTTTTTTCAGCCCAAATGAAAATTTGTAAACCAAACTTGTTTCAAATTGGTTCTTTAACCGATGAACTGATTTTCTTAAGAGAAAAAGCTTAGAAAATTTTTGAATTAATGCTAAGACCTGATTTTCTGCGGCTCACTGCTTCATGTATTCTACTTCTTCAAATTATGCTGTAGGAAGTCGCTTTGGAGGTTGATGTTTTCTATTGATCTCTACAATGATTCTCAGAAATTTATAAGTTAACTGCAGTGATTTTCAAGAATGCGCTAGAGCCTTGAGTCAGCACACACTCCTCTCCACCAACCCAGGGAGCAAAGATCCTTGAAGCCCCTCGCTGTCTCCAAGCATGAGTGGGCTGCGCGGACTCCAGCTGCCAGTTCATTTCCTGCGAGGAGCTCCCCTGTTCTTTCCTTCTGCAGTTCACATCTTCAGTGCCCCTTCCCTTATAAACTGAGAAGGGATTTATGCAGCATAAGCTTACCTGAGAAACTGAAGATCATTAACTAGAAAGGTGCTTCTGGGCAATGGGAAATTTTTTCATTGCAAAGGTTTCAAATCTAAGAAAGTAATTAATTTCTCTGTGGAAAGGATCATATTTTTCTCTTCTGATGTCCTTCCCTATTGCAAAATTGTACGGTTTAAGGCACAGCAGAGGGAATATGACTCCTCTCTCATTAACCCTCACAGTTTGTCTCCCTCTTTTCTGTCACTCTCCTTTCATCTTCCACTTTGGCATTATTGTGCCTGCTAGGGTTTGGGGTGGGGGGGTATGTTTTATTTTACTTTTGTGAGGAAAACTTCAGGAATATGTTTGAGGGAATGTAACACGGTAAGTATTTTTCTTAATGTGCGTATGTCAGAAGGGGTTTTTAAAAATAAAGTGTCTGTTTATTAAAAGGAAGATGACAAATTAGGAAAAATAGTTGCCTTTACTTGCCTTTCTCCATTCCATATTTGCATGTCTCTTCTTCTGCAGTGAGAACTCTGGCTTCTGGCCACATCAACTCATTTACTCATTGGCTTATCCCTTCAATGCACATAAAATAGTTTAAGAATTCATACGCTTTTATAACCACAAAAATAAACCTACTAAGATGAGTTCCAGATTTGTTTGCAATTCTTTTACTCTCTAGCCTGTGTTCAAAAGTAACTTTGAATTAGGTCTTTATTTCTCTCACAGTATGCTTATATTATTTATTTAAAATACAGATTAGATCACTTGTTTCTGTTTACATTTAATTTTATGTTTTTCCCCTTTCTTTGTTGATTTACTTTTAGTTTTCGAATATATAGAACATTAACATGGTTCCAAAATTATCTCCCCTATCCTCCGGGGATATGTTCCAAGACCCCCAGCGGGTACCTGAAACTGTCAACAGTGCCAAACCCTATTACTATGTTTTTTCCTATACATACCTATGATAAAGTTTAATTTATAAATTAGGCACAGTAAGAGGTTAACAATAATAACTAATGGTAAAATAGGACAATAATAACATGTTGTAGTAAAAGTTATGTCAATGTGGTCTCGCTCTCAAAATATCTTATTATACTCTGATGATGGGAGATGATCATTGAGATGATGTGAGGTGAGTGAAATCAGCATTGTGATGTAGTGTTAGGCTACTGTTCATCTTCTGATGTCTTGTCAGAAGAAGGGTCATCTGCTTCAGGGGATCCTGGGTCACAAAGCTGTGATGATATAGATGGTTGGATGTCAGGAGCAGATGATGTCAATGGCAGATCCTCAATAGTTGAAGGTGGTTGTTTTTTGGCCAGAAACTTTTAGAAGAACATTGTAATCAAAAGTTGGCTCTTTTTGAATCATCAGAGTGTTGCTGCAGAGTTTGTAATCCTTTGTGATCATATAGGTCACTTTAATACTGCATTCTATCTGAGGAGTATATTCCATAATTTTTCCCCTTTTATTATTTTATATATATATATATATATATTTAATTTATTTATTGTTGACAGTATTACAGTTGTCCCAATATTTCCTCCCCTTTTGTCCCCCTCCTCCTAGCCCCTGCCCC